GCGCACATGCACACACATTCCAGTTTGGTCACTCGGTGCCGAAAAGGTTCACCATCACTGACCTAAACTGTATTAAGAAATCTAAGTTTTTTGTTTCATCAATCCATGGATTTAGGGCAACTTACAATAGAACAACAATACGAGAAAAATGCATTAAAGAAGTAAAAGTTGAAACCATATTAAGAAAACACCCTTTGTGATGCATGCCATAAAAACCAATAAACTCAAATTGAGATACCAATAGTGCAGAATTGTTTAACTTACAGAACAATGGATTGTACTAGATTATACCAATGAACTCCCCCCCCTCCTTTTTTTTAAACTGCTAATGTTGTTAGAAATAATTTCAGATGTTGCAATGAATCAAAAGTCATCACTGTCAGGAACTGCTCTATAATGAAAATGAAAACAGGATGGAAATAATGGGATGCAGAAAGTTATGTACAGCGTTGCAAAAATGCACAAATCCAATTTCCCTCTGTTATCCCAGGAGTCCAAAGAAACGAAATGATTAGAGCAAAGTTTGTGGCCAGTGGGTTGGATGCGTCATGTGCTGGCTCTGCCCACACCTGGTTTAGTGAAGGGGGGGGAGTCCCCATGACGATGCACAGGGTTTGACAGCCCTAAGGTAGAGGTTCACAAAATACTCCTTTTTACAAGATGGGGGATTCTTCATCACCAGCTATAGAGATAATAGCTACCAATTAGAAGTTTCCAAAGCAGATTAGGGAAACGAAGTTCTAATTAGCTACCAAATAGGATACAGTAGGTGTCTTTTGCTTCCAGGGAACTCTTAAATACCAGTTTCTAATTAATCCTCAGGTTTATTTGATAGGCTGCTCAGAAAGTTGGCTGTCAAGGAGAATGGGATACTGATTTAAATAAACTTCCCTTGTGCAATCTTGCTTTTGGCGAAGAAATTAGAATAAGCCAAAATTGTATGGTTATAGACTACTCAGTGTACGCAGAGGGACTGAAAATCAGATTGAAGAGGTTTGACTCATAGAAGAGAGCATGAATGGCTGGTTGGAAACTGATTAGGAGCAGTCCATGTTGCAACTTCTTGCTGGAGCTCTTTTTTTTAATCTTATTTAATTGAAATGCTTAATTGGATTTACTACTCGTAGGCTTAGCCACAATCCATTTACTATCCCAGAGTAACATTTAAGTTTTAAATAGGGTTAATCGGCAACATGCCCTAAGTCTGACTCAGTGGAGTATGTTGTTTGATCTCTTTTCCTCTACAACAGGGGTGTCAAACTTGGAGAGTCAAGGCGGCATCACATGACGTATCGGGACCTTTTTCCTCTTCGCTACACCAGTCGTGGGTGTGACCAGTGCATCACGCATTTGGCCTGTGGGCCAGGAGTTTGACAGCACTGCTCTATAAGGAGGATTATCCTTAATGAAATTCTGCAAAGATGCCTCAGTAGTTCTTGTTATCGTATTTTTCAGTGTATAAGACACATTTCCTTCCCCTTAAGAGAGGGTGAAAATTTAGGTGCGTCTTATATACCGAATATAGCCCTCACTTCCCCCCCCTCAGCCTCTGCGTGTTGTGTTTTAGACCTGTTCCAGAATGTAAGGATTGCCACAGACCATCGCCCCCTCCTGGCTTGCATTTTTGGCCTCTGTGCCTCGTGTTTTCAGCATCTGAACGCTCCATTTGAGACCTGTTCAAGGCTGCGGCAATCGCTAGAGCACATCGCCGCCGATCACTACCTCCATGCGCTCGCAAGCAGCAAACCTGTTGCTAAAGTTCACCTCTGGGAACAGCTGATTAGGAGTGTTCCAGGAGGCTGATCCACCAGCCAATCAGCTGCTCGTGCTGAATCACGCTAATGTTCTGAAGCTGACCAGGCTGTTTGCTAAGGATGCTAGGCAGATGAATACCAAGAGATGCTAGTAGGCAGAGACAGAATTTTTTTTCTTCTTACTTTGTTCCCCAAAACCTAAGGTGCGTCTTATACTCCAGAGCATCTTATACTCAGAAAAATATGGTATTTTGAAATAGATAATTTTGGTTTTCCCTCACTGTATGTGGGTGAGACATTAAGATAGACATGTTTTAAGATGTCCATCTCAACAAATACTATATAGCAGCTGCCTTCTGTGTGTTTGTTTGCAAAAATGATCTTGAGGGTAGACAATTCTCCTCTTGTTTATTTCTTTCACTGCTGTTTGCTGCCCAGCTAATCACCAATATGATAAAAGTTTTTATAATGGTGCTGCTTCCTGAGTGTATTTTTCCTAACCGGAAGGACAAATTCCGTTCAGATTGAGGGCGGAATGTGTATTTTTCTCTCCCCAAAAGGCATTTTTTTTCTTTTAAAAAAAGAAATGGTCTCACAGATTTTTGACCCAAATGGAATTTAAGATTTATGCAGAGCTACTTAATAAGGTTTTAATATTATACATAAGCCCGAATGAAATTTGGCAGAAATATACTAGGTAATGGAAATCAGCTATGTGAAAGTACAAAGTAAGGATTTAAATTCTTGGCAAGAGTACATGAGGCTTCATTAATACAGAAACTCTTTGTTTTATTTTGCATTTCACTGGTCATGTCTCCCTCAAGGTTGTGAGTTGGTTAGCAAATAAATTGAATAAGTAAAACAAGTCAAGCTAAATTTCCAATCACTACAATGGACATATTGATGATGTTTGTTGGCAATAAGATGGGAAATGGTTGGCATTGCCTTCTTCCTGTGTTTATATTTTTGAACTTTACTATCTAGGCCATGAACCCAAAATTACCTGGTAAAAAGAATCATCCTATTAACTTTTTCAACATCAGTTGCTTGTTTTGCTTCTCACTGATATACAATCTATTACCTCAAATTATGTCAAAGTTGTATTATACTAGTTATAGTAGAAGTAGCTGTGGTGGTTAGAATGCAGTATTGCAGGCTAATTCTGCCCACTACCAAGAGTTCAATCCTGACCAGCTCAAGGTTGACTCAGCCTTCCATCCTTCCGAGGTCAGTAAAATGAGGACCTAGATTTTGGGGGACAATATGCTGATATTTGTAAACCGCTTAGAGAGATATATAAAGCACTAAGGAATGGTATGTGGATATACACATGTACATATACACATATACATACATACATACATACATACATATACACACATACATACATACATACATACATACATACATA